AGATCATGGTTATGATTACTCTATCTTTTAAGGCATATACACATTTCTGTGTCATGAATAGAAGACAGTGTATTTGTGTGTGTGAGTGCATATACACATTCTTAAATATTTTGAGTATTATCTAGAAGGAGTGATGATGGATGATGGGGTGCAAGGGAAGAGTCATGCTGGTTTTGAGTGAATTCCAACTAATCAAAGAATATGTGCAATCCACATTTTCTACGGACAAAGCAATGTATGAGCAGTTTCAGAAATATCTATAACCCTATATCTCATATAGGATGAGGGGCTATGATTAATAAAATTATAATTATGGTTTTTTTTTCTTCGGCAAAATAATAGTTTATTCTGAAATATCGAGTACTTTCAGTGATAAAAAGGAATTTCATTTTACCTAGAAAAAGTCGGATTTTATAAAATGAACGCTGGTTGTCAATAAGAAAAAATATGATACTACCTCTGTATTAAACTATTGTTTAAAACAATGAAAGATGTATGTTAGGGGCTTGATAGGTGGTTCAACCTTGAGAGTATGATCATAGAGAAAGATTTAATCAAGCAGACGCACGAATTTTTGTCAAATTTATGAATTTAAAAATTATATTAAAAATTTAGAAGGTGTGAAATTATAAAATTGCAGAGTGTGTAGTTACAAAATACTTAAAATATAAGAAAATTTAAAATTTCTAAGACTGCGATAGCACCACAGTACTCATCGTTCCCTACCTGGATTTAAAACAACATTTCGGGTCTCTAAATTCTTTAATGTAATTAAGATATAACCTTTTTTTTTTTTGGAGATTTTATATCCTAAAATCTAAAAGACCCACTCTTAAGAAGAAGAAAATATAAGAAAATGATAAGGCTGTAGTAAGTTGAATACAACAAATTTAGCTCACTCAAATTAATGAAAACACTTGAAAGGAATAATACGGTAAGGTTTCCTACAAGAGAATACAACGACAAATAAGATTGATGCTTGATTCTTGGTTCGAATGCTTCAACCTCTTGTTTCTTGTTGATGAAACCATTTGGATAAAGTAGAGAAGTAGAGATGTTGGATATCAAATTTTTGAACATCTAAATATTAGTACTCCTAAGTAGGATGGTCAAAATATTCGAACCGAAGGGTCCCGACCTGACCCGATTCTATAAGGGTGAGTTTTTTTTATTTTGGGGTTCAGAGAGGGGCAAGACGGTTTATAGAGTATATATATTCGGGGCAGGGTGAGGTTGAGTTTAAGGTAAAAAATCATCGACCCAACCCTGTTAATCTATACTTTTATATATATAAATATATTGCACAAACCAAAGTGACCTCCGTGATAAATGAATTGTTGTTATTCCTTAAAGAACCAGGTTCGAGCACCATAGATGCTAGGGGTGTGAGCGATCAATGTCGAAAGGTTAAGAGTTATCTTTGAACAGACACTTCACGTACTTACCCCAGATTATTCAATATATATATATATATATATATATTAAAGATTTTTATTTTTATTATTAAACATATAAAAATTAATATAAAATATATTATTTTAATTGTTTAAAATATATTATTTTAATTGTTTAAAATATAATAAATTATTATAAACATATTATTATAAAATATATTATTTTAACTATTTAAAAAAACTAATATGTTTGGATCGGGTCGGTGTCCGGGTTTTAATCTTAAAATCGAGATACATCAAGCAGCCAATCAAACTCCTGAAATATCCTTCATCAACTTTTGTCAGCACCATCTTTGCACAGCTTCTCCCTTTGATTCATTGGAGTGCTTGCTGCCTTGCACTCTTCCATTTGAAATTTATTTAGTATTTCCTTTGCATATTTTTTCTGGCAGATAAAAACTTCACCTTGCCCTTGCTTAATCTCCATGCCAAGGAAGTAGGAAATAAACCCCAGATCTGTCATTTCAAACACCTTCATCATCTCTTGTTTGAAATTTTGAATATGATCTGTATTGTTTCCTGTAACCAGCAGGTCATCAACATACAGTGAAACAATAAGAATGTCAGTACCATTGTGCTTGACATACAAGGTTGTTTCTTATGGACTTTTCACAAAACCAAAGTTCAGCAAATATTCATCAATTTTACTATACCAAGCTCTTGGAGCTTGTTTCAGACCATAAAGGGCATTCTTGAGAAGATAGACTTTATCTCCTTCACCTTCCTTCACAAATCCTTGGGGTTGCTCCACATAAATTTCTTCCTGTAAGACACCATTTAAAAAAGTTGATTTGACATCCATCTGGAACATTTTCCAGTCCTTTTGTGCAGCTATTGCGAGCAGTAATCTGATTGTGTCCAATCTAGCAACAAGAGCAAAAGTATCAGAGTAATCAACACCAAAGATTTGGGCGTACCCTTTAACCACAAGCCTAGCTTTGTGCTTGTTAATCGAGCCATCGGCGTTAAGCTTGGTTCTAAACACCCACTTAACTCCAATCACTTTCCTGTCTTGAGGTCTGTCCACAAGGATCCAAGTCTTGTTTTTCTCTATCATTGACAGCTCCTCCTCCATTGCAACTATCCACCTTTGATCCTTTTTTGCTTCGGCATAGTCGGCAGGCTCACACACATCTATATTGCACCTTTCATAAATATCTGAGAGCAACCTTGTTCCTCTCACATGAGCATCATCTGCTGTTTCATTCTGCCAATCATCTTCTTCGTCAATGCTTGAACCAGAAAACTTGTGATTTAATTCTGCCACAGTCTAACCTTTCTTCTCTCCATCATCCCAGCTCCACTCTTCATCCTCCACAAAGTGAACATCCCTGCTAATAATAATATTTCTAGTTTGTGGTTGGAAAATTTTATAAGCCTTGCTGACAGTACTGTAGCCTATAAAGATACCTGGTGAAGCTCTCCTATTAAGCTTGTCACGCTTGCTCTGTGGAACATGAGTGAAACACAAGCAACCAAATACTTTAAGGAACTTCAAAGATGGTTTATAATCATACCATGCCTCAAATGGTGTTTGTTCCTTCACTGCCTTTGTGGGAAGTTTGTTTTGAAGAAACACAACAGTATTTGTTGCCTCTGCCCAAAACTTCTTTAGTAAATTCTTTTCATGCAACATGCATCTTGACATTTCCATGATGTATATATTTCTCCTTTCACTAACACCATTTTTTTGAGGTGTGTAAGGAGCTGTAAGCTGATGCTCTATGCCTGAATCTTCATAAAACTTGTCAAATTTTGCGGAAGTATACTCATTCCCATTGTCAGACCTTATAATCTGAATTTTGCAGCCACTTTCATTCTTATCTTTTGCTTTGAATTTCCAAAAAACTTGAGCTACTTCTGATTTAAACTTCAAGAAAAAAATCCAACACATTCTGGTGAAGTCATCAATAAAGGCAATATAATAGAGACTACCTTTTAAAGAAGATGTTTTTTGAGGGCCTGAAACATCCGTGTGGACGAGCTGCAATTTGTGAGTGGCTCTCCAGATTGACTTCGGAAATGGATTCCTTTTTTCCTTTCCAAACTGACATGCTTTGCAGTTTGAGATTGCATCACTAAGTTTGGGAACATCAAGTGCCAACTCCTTTTCTCTTAGTTGCAACAGCCCTTGATGATGATAGTATCCGACTCTTTTGTGCCAAATTTGAGTTACATCTTCTTTGAGTAAAAACAGATTGCTCATCCTCTAAAGGATTGAGTGAAAAACTCTTTCCTTTCATTTTTACTTTGAAGATATCTTGATTAGTTGCATCCTTAATCAAGCAATATTCATCTTCAAAAATAACTTTAAAGCCTTTTTCAATTAGTTGGCCAACACTTAACAGATTTTGGTCAATTTCAAGAACAAATAGAACATCATGTATAAGTTTTGTACCTGCATAGCTTGCAATCGCAATAGTCCCTTTTCCTTTGACAGAGATATAATCCCCATTGCCAATTCTAACTTTGGTGATGTTAGTTGGCTTCAAATCTCTAAACAACTCCTTGTCATGAGTCATATGGTTGGTGCAAGCATTGTCAATCAGCCAAATTTCATTTGATTCATTGCCCACGAAACATGTAGCGACAAACAGTTGATCTTCTTCCTCTTGATCTGCAACTTTAGCTTCTTCCTTTTGCTGCTGATTTTTGTTTCTACATATGACAGCTTCGTGCCAGATTTGATTGCATTTGTTGCATCTCGCATTAGGTCTCCTCCAATATTTGAAAGGGGGATGACCCTTTTTGTTGCAATGATGACACGGAGGATACTCCTTCTTCACACCTGGTTTTCTATTTCCAGCTGTGGTTTTGCTCTCTGTTGTTGAGCTGTCTCCTTCTGCGTGAGGCTGCTTGAATTTCTACTTCCTATTCTTGCCATTATTGTGATGCTTGGCTGCTAGGGCTCCTTCAATAGTTCCTTCTTGTCTCATTGCACGCCTCTGTTCTTGTGCTTGCAAGGCACTCAAGAGTTCTGCCAGAGGAATCTTGGACAAGTCCTTGGTATTCTCCAAGGTGGTAACAATAGCCTCAAATTTTTCAGGCAATGTTATAAGGATTTTCTCCACAATCCTCGAGTCTGCCAGAGATGATCCCAACAACCGGACTCGGTTTGCTATGCTGAGAAGTCTTTCAGCATACTCTTTGACTGTCTCAGTTTCCTTCATCTTTTGCAACTCAAAATCACGAACTAAATTCAACACCTGCATCCTAATAATTCTCTCATCTCCTTCGTACTCAGTCTTGAGATAATCCCATATCTTCTTTGCTGACTTTAGAGACATAATTCGGGTGAAAATGGTGGCTGAAGCTGCAGCAAACAAGCAGGATTTTGCCTTAGCTTTTTTCGTCTTCTTCTCCTTATGTGCTTTGATCTGAGCCAAAGTGGGATTGGCTGGAATTGCTGGAACTATGTAGTCCTCTTCCACAGCTTCCCAAAGATCCAAAGCCTCCAAATACGTCTCCATGCAAACTGCCCACATTTGGTAGTTTTCTCCATCAAACACTGGTGGAGAAATTGGAGAAAAACTTGCTTCAACTTCCATGGCGTGTCAAAGTCACTCACAGGTCCCTTAAGAAAAGAGCTATGATACCAAAATGTTATTTTTTAATATGTAGAAGAAAAAGAACGTTGCTGCAGAAAAACAAAAAACAGAACTACTTTATAAAAATAAAAAACGTTACAGTTTTAAAGCAAAAACAACAAACTAACCACTAACAATATGATCCTAAACTTTCTCCATGTTTAGAGATCATGAATAACATAATAACCACTTCCTAAGAAATAGGAATAAACTTTGACACAAACAACTTAACAAAAAAAAGAAACGTGTGGACTTGTTTCAGTCCTAAAGCAGTCTTCTAGCATCTCCCATGGGTGATTGCAGGCCACTTCAATGAGGTGCTTAATTCCAATTAGAAGATTGCTGGAAGAAGACCTTCATTCACTAGATGTCGTCTTCTTAATGAATTAATTCTGAATTGTAATTGGATGGATCTCGGTTTCTAGGGTCCTTCATTCACTTGGTGGAACAAAAGGCATGGATTGGCAAAAAATTTTGCGCGACTGGATAGGGTGCTTGCTAACCCGGACTGGAGGTCTCAGTCCCCGGAAGCTCTTGTGACATACCTTCCACGTCTCCACTCGGATCACTCCCCTTCTCCACTCGGATCACTCCCCTCGTCTACTCCAATTGTATCCGACCTAGGCTGTGAGCAAGGAAAATCGCCCCTTTCGGTTCCAAGCAACGTGGCTTTCCGTCTTGGGTTTTTGCAACATGTTAAAACACTTGTCGCAGGGCTTGCTTGAAGACTTAATCACAGGTTCTAAAAATATGGTGGAGCGTATCAAAACATGGAATCGGGAAAGCTTTGGAAATTTATTCGGTCGCAAGAAGCAGCTGAAAGCAAGAATCCATGGACTCCAGTGTATTCCAATCCATAACCGCTTCCACCAACTGGAATTACTTGAAGCACATCTGCTTGCAGAATACACCAAAATTCTGATACAAGAGGAAATCTTCTGGTTGCAGAAATCAAGAGTTCAATGGCTTCAACACGGTGATCGCAATTCACGCTTTTTTCACCTCTCACGGACGCTTGATGGGTCTTGGGTGTGTGATGTTTCCCAGATTAAGGACATGGTTTGCGCTTATTTCAAGATCCTCTTCTCATTAGAACCTGCGAACCACACTGCTTTGTAGAATTTGAATTGTCCCAAAATTCCAACCTTAGATTGCCATTCCTTGGTTATGGAGGTTACGAAATTGGAGGTCAACCAGGCTTTATGTATGATGAAACCTCGGAAAGCTTGTGGGATGGCTTCCGAAGTCCCCTCCTTAACTTGGTACGCTCAGCTTTCGAAACAGGATAGTTCCCTCCTTAACTTGGTACGCTCAGCTTTTGAAACAGGTTAGTTCCTTGCTGAGTTGAATCACACTCTACTTGTTCTAATTCCCATGGTCAATAATCCCGAGTATGTGTCTTAATTACGACCTATAAGCTTGTGAAATGTGGCCTATAAATTGATAACAAAAGTCTTGGTTAACAGGATTAGACCCCTGCTTCCTAACTTAATTTTCCCCTTACAAGTTAGATTTGTTCCTGGTCGGCAAGTTGCGAACAATGTTCTTCTAGCCCAAGAAGTGATTCATAAAATCAAATGTTTCAATGGAAAAAATGGTTTGGTGGCTATTAAAATAGACCTCTAAAAAACTTATGATAGAATACGGTGGGATTTTCTATAAGAAACGCTTGAGCAATTTGGTTTCCCTAAGGCTTGGGTTGATCTTATTCTCTACTGTGTTCGTAATTCTAAATTCTTGATTCTTTAGAATGTGGAGAAGACAGAGTTCTTTAGTCCTTCAAGAGGCTTACTCCAAGGTGACCCAATCTCCCGGTATCTTTTTGTACTATGCATGGAGAGACTTGGACACATGATTCATACCGAAGTTGCGCTAATAGGTGGAAACCATTTAAATTGGGAAACAAATTTCACGCTTATTTTTTGCGGATGACTTATTCTTTATTTGGGAGAGCGAATGTGCAATAGGCGAGCACTATTAAAAGAGTACTTGATGGTTTCTTCTAAGCTTCGGGGGCAAAGGTTAGCTTTGAGAAGTCCAAACTTTTTATCTCTCCGCATGCTAATTCCGAAGCTAAAAGGAAGTTTGTGTAAGCGATTAATATTGCATCATGTGCGGATTTGGGAAAGTACCTTGGAGTCTCGTTAATCCATGGACGGGTTACGAAACATACATATAGTGAGATTGTGGATAAGATCAACTCTCGCCTTAATGGTTGGAAAGCAAAAGCTCTAAATATTGCGGGAAGAACTGTTCTTAGTAGTTCGGTTATATCTGTTATTCCTACATATAATATGATGATTACTCGAATGCCGTTTGGCGTAACTGAGGAGATTAACAGGTCCAATCAGATGTTTTTATGGGGTGAAAATGATGTTAAACGTGGCCAACACTTAGTAGCATGGAATGATGTTTGTAAACCAAAATGCCTTGAGGGGTCTTGGCTTACGGAGATGAGATATCACAATCTCGTCATTCTACAAAAAACAGCGTGGAGGTGTTGACAATTGTTTCATGATTCTAGATAGTCGGCTGATCAAATTGGACGATAATTTTTTGTCAAAGTGGACAGCCAATATTGTTGAAATTGGCAAAGGGATAATTATAAAATTGAGTCATTGTACTTTAAGGTATTTATAAGATTAGTCCTTAAGCTTTAACTATTAATGCCCTAGCTCATTTAGCTTCAACTATAAATATCCTAACTCATTTAGCTTCAAAATCATCCCAAATCATTTATTTCTCCCAATATTAAAGAGTTTAGAGAGTTCTCTTGTGAGTAGTGAGTGTTTTGTAAACACCTGTAAATTTTCTATCTTTAGTAAAAGATCTGCAGCAGTCTGGAGACATAGGCAAATTGGCTGAACTCCGTTATCAATTTCGGGTATTATTTTTCCGCTTCTATTTCGCATTCTCACTAATCTGGTTATAGAGAAATTACTCGAACTCGGTTTATTTCCTAACAACTGGTAATCAGAGCTTTTGGTTGTGAATTTTGTCAATTTTTTTACTATTCATTACTATTCACATGAATAGTAAAATTTTTATCGACGATACGAATTTGTCGACCGAGGTGTTCTAATACACGGTGGTTCGCAAGAATTGTCAAAAACGATCCAAACGAAGCCAGATTCGAGTGGGAGCGATGGCTGCAGACGAATGGAATGTGAAAATTGAAAAGTTCGATGGTACGGACTTTGGCTTTTGGAAGATGCAGATTGAAGATTTTCTGTACCAGAAAAATTTATATCAGCCTCTCTCAGGAAAGCAACCAGAGGGCATGAAGAATGAAGATTGGGTTCTTCTCGACAGACAAGCCCTCGGAGTTATCCGACTAACGTTGTCCCGAAATGTTGCTTTCAACATAGCAAAGGAAAAGACCACGACGAGTCTTATGGCGACTCTCTCCAGTATGTATGAGAAGCCATCAACCTCAAACAAAGTTCATTTGATGAGGCGATTATTCAATTTGCAGATGGAAGAAGGGGCATCAGTGGCTCAACACCTAAATGAACTCAACACAATTACAACCCAGTTGAGTTCTGTGGAAATTGAATTCAATGATGAAGTTCGAGCTTTAATTCTCTTACCATCTCTACCATACAGTTGGAATGCTACTGTTACAACAGTTAGCAGCTTGTCGGGAAATAGTAAATTGAAATTAGACGATGTTCAGGATCTGGTACTGAGCGAAGAAATTCGACGGAGAGAATCGGGTGAAGCATCAACCTCCTCAGTCTTGCACACGGAGTCCAAAGGGAGAACTTCATAAAGAAATTCAAATTGTGTCAGATCCAAATCCAGAAGGGGAAAATCAAGAACGAGAAAGAAAGATTTTACCTGTTATAACTACGTCAAGAATGGTCACTTTAAAAGAGATTGTCGAGCACCAAAGAAAAATACTGGCGCACAGGAATCTGCCAACGTGACAGAGGAGACAGGTGATGCCATGATTCTAAGCGTCAACAGTCCGATTGAATCATGTATCTTGGATTCAGGGGCATCTTTCCACTCCACCCAATGCCGAGAAATCATGGAGAACTATACAGTGGTGATTTTAGGAAGGTTCATCTAGCAGATGATGAAACCTTGAAGATCATCGAAAAAGGAGACATCCGATTAAAATTGGAAAACCAGACCACCTGGAAGCTGAAAGGAGTGAGACATATTCCTGGCCTCAAAAGAAATTTAATTTCTGTAAGACAGCTTGATGGAGAAGGATATAGTACAACCTTTTCAGGCTGTGAATGGAAGATTACCAAAGGAGTACTCGTCATTGCTCATGGTAAGAAAACTGGTACTCTCTATATAACCTCAAATTTAGAGAATATCATTGCTGCAGCAGATGCTGATGGAAAATCAAACCTATGGCACCAAAGGCTTGGCCATATGAGCGAGAAAGGAATGAAGACACTTTTGTCAAAAGAGAAGCTGTCGGATCTAAAGAATGTAGATGTCGGACTATGTGAAGATTGCATATTCGGAAAACAAAAGAAAGTCAGTTTTGCAAAGATTGGAAAGACACCCAAGGAAGAAAAGTTAGAGTTGGTTCATACTGATGTATGGGGACCATCTCCAGTTCCATCTCTTGCAGGCTCATTATATTATGTCACCTTCATCGATGATTCAACAAGGAAGGTGTCGATTTATTTTCTAAAGAAGAAATCAGAAGTCTTTGATACCTTCAAAAAATGGAAGGTCATGGTGGAAAATGAGACTGGTTTGAAAATCAAGCGGTTGAGGTACGACAATGGAGGAGAGTACAGAAACAATAGATTCACAAATTTTTGTACAAACAATGGGATCAAGATGGAGACAACAGTTCCCATGACACCGCAGCAGAATGGCGTAGCATAGCGCATGAACAGAACTCTGAATGAACGTGCCAGAAGCATGAGGATTCATGACGGATTGCCCATATTTCTATGGGCTGAAGCTATCAACACTGCAACTTACCTGATCAACCATGGGCCCTCTGTTCCTTTGGATGGAAGAATACTAGAGGAAGTTTGGAGCAAGAAAGAAATAAACCTTTCACACTTAAGAGTGTTTGGTTGTATTTCTTATGTACACATAGACTCTGTTGAAAGAAGTAAACTTGATGCTAAGTCCAAAAAATGTGCCTTTGTTGGTTATGGCGATGATGAGTTCGGTTACTGGTTTTGGGACTATGAAAATCGGAAGATCATCAGAAGCAGAGATGTCATTTTCAATGAGAATGTGTTGTACAAAGACAGGGCAACCATAGAATCAAGTAGCTCCAATACCAAAGCTGAAACAAAGGAATTTGCTGAGTTTGAGGAATTTTCTGGAAATGATGTTCAGATCAATCCTGAAGCAGTTCAAGAAGAACGACGCACACCAGAACTGAGACGCTCCTCCATATTTCCTAAACCAACCCAGCGTTATTCGCCTTCTTTGCACTACTTGTTGTTGACTGAAAATGGTGAACCAGAGTGCTATGATGAAGCAATGCAGGTGGAGGATTCAGTCCAGTGGGAGTCTTCCACGAAAGATGAGATGGACTCGCTTATGTCAAATCAGATGTAGGAATTAGCTGAATTACCACCAGGCAAGAAAGCACTCCATAACAAGTGGATTCACGGGATCAAATAAGAGCATGATGGGAGCAAACGCTACAAAGCAAGATTGGTTGTCAAAGGTTTTCAACAAAAAGAAGGTATTGACTACAATGAAATTTTCTCTCCAGTCATGAAACTGTCTACAATCAGACTGGTGTTGAAAATTGTATCTGCAAAGAATCTACATCTTGAGAAGTTAGATGTGAAGACATCTTTCCTTCATGGTGATTTGGAGGAAGAAATCTATATGAGGCATCCAGAAGGCTTCATAGAGGCAGGCAAGAAAAACCTGGTATGCAGGTTGAAGAAGAGCTTGTATAGTTTAAAACATGCTCCTAGACAGTGGTACAAGAAGTTTGATAGCTTCATGAGTAGCAGTGGTTTTACCAGATGCCAAGCAGATCATTGTTGCTACATCAAGAAGTTCGACAACATCTTCATTATTTTATTGTTGTATGTTGATGACATGCTTGTTGTAGGTTCAGACATGCAAGAGATTATAAACTTGAACCAAAAATTGTCGAAGCAGTTTGCAAT